AAAAAAAAAAAAAGAATACACCCCTCATTCATCAGTGTGATTATTTGACCACCTATACCTTCCTCCCCCAGGCTGTAGAAGCCACAATTTGTGGACTCTGTGTGTCTTTTCTGCACATCACTGAATTCCACCTCTAGCATAGTGCCTGCAAACAAGAATGCCACATAAATAATTATATTAGATTTAAACTAGATTTATACTAGATTAGTGAATATTAAAATATCCTGTAAATGGGACCAGCAGTTAGCATAAAGGCTATGTCGCTGGACTCCCATCTATGGCTCCGGACTCGGTGGCTTGGACTCACGCTGGGCGCATGTGCGTGCATGCCCAAGATCCTAAGAGGAGAATGGAGGAGAAGGGATTGCAGCGTGGCCATCCCCTCTGGGGGGTTATTTCTCACTTTCCGTCTCTCTGTCTCTCTCTGTCTTTCTGGCGAGCGTACGTGCCCTCTAGCAAAAATCTCTCAAAAATAAATAAATAAATAAAATTTAAAATCCTGAAAATAAATATTAATAAAACAAGTATTTAATGGGCCAGCTCCATGGCTTGGTGGTTAAGGTGACCAGATCCCACATGGCTAGACACTTGGCTTGAGTCTCAGACCCAGTAACTTAAGAAACACTCCAGGCATGTCTGCATGTGTGCCCTCATTCCTGAAAGAAGGAGAGACAAAGGAGGAAAAGGGAGTGTGGAGTGACCATTCTCCACACAGTGGGGTGCTCTCTCTTCTCTCTCTCTCTCTCTCTCTCCCTCCCTCTCTCTCTCTCTCTCTGTCTCTTTCTCTGGGGAGTATGCATGCCCTCTAGCCAAAAAAAAAAAAGATAAAAAGTGTGTATCGATGAACAAGAAAATAAGAACAGAACGGATGCTATCTGCAGAGCTTTTCTGTTGTCAGAAAGTAGAAACCTCTCACTGGGCACGCTTTCTATGACTCGATAGTTGACAAGGCCAGATTATAGTACTAAAAAGAAAGAATTTGGGTTCATTGGGCTGCTAAATAAAGCTTTTATTCAGGCGATATTTTCCAATGTTCTCTAGTGTGGGACAAACTGAAACAGATTGAAGATTATAAACCACATACCTCCACAAACAAATATTCCTTCGCGTCCCAGTTTCCCAGAGTTCACACATGGGGTTCACGGTCCATTCATTTGAATAATACCTCACTGCTCCCATATTTTAAACCCAGTAATATTCAATATACTGAAGTGTCTTGTCATAAAAACGAGAAGGATGGACGTGTATGTCCTGTCCTGGGGCACAGGAGAGCAACAAGCTTCACTGGAATTATTTAGCGCGATCACCGAACATTTCATAGGGAACGGGCCTTTGGTAACGACAGTTTTGTTGGTGACCAGCCGGGGTAGGGATGCTCACCTCGTGGGGCTGGAGAGTGAAGTTCTCCAGAAGCTGCTGTGGATTCCTCTGTCAGGAGAGAGGTGGTGGACGGCAGGGCACTTGCCCAGAGACTGTGCTATTTCGAACTCGGTTTTCCTATGTTGGCCTAAAATTGCAGCGAAAGGAGGTAATCCGACTCTGCATCCCCACGCTGAATGTGGGGCTGGGCGTGGACGGGAGAGCCCTCTGGCTCAGATGTCGCTAGGCAACCAGTCCTGTCCATGGCAAGCAGATGCGTTTTGACTAATTTTTTTTTCTTTTTCTTTGGAAAGGTTTTTGCTATAGGGCTCATGTGCTCACCAGAAAGACAGAGAGAGACAGAGAGACAGAAGCGAGAAATCATCCCCCAGGGAGATGGCCACGCTGCAATCCCCTCTCCTCCATTCTCTTCTCGCATCAGCTGATAATCACCTCTGCTTACTGGAACCACTTTCCTGAAACTGCATTCCATGGAGACCCACCTACAATTGAGGAACTGCGCTAGACCCGCCCTTAATCAAACCCTGAATTGCACTAGACCCACCCTTAATCTAACCTGAATAGAATCTATGTTCTTTATTGTTAAAAACTTTATGAGCTGTTAATTGAAACACTAGCCCCTCTCCCATTTACTTGTAACACATTTTCAATAAAAAGGCATGATAATTCCTAGCAGTTGTCACCCCTCAGAGAGAGATCTTTAAGTGGTGTCCGGCATAGGACGTGCATGAAAAGG